TTTAAAAGTTTTGATGATGAAGAGTTATGTAAAATTCCGGTGGTGATCGACGATTTTGTGGCCTCTCTGGTATTTTTATATTTATAGTGGAGACCAGGAAGATTTCATGGGTGACTAATCAATCGACTGCCTCGATTTTTTTCCATTATTTGGTTCGAGAAAAATATATGAACTAAATGATTGCTTTCGCTTGATACCCAGAACAATTAGTCTTCAATAAACTAAATATCTTGATATCTCACAGTTGGACTGAGTCTGGTGGCATGGGCTGATATGGACCAGTCCTATTTGGTTCTCCCCTGGTATGGGATCTTGGGAGGCCTATAACGACATGCAAAGGTGGCTCAAAGCTAGACCACTTTTTGTTGGGTTTGTACTTTATCTTTGGTCCAATCTTTAATCTGGATAGGATATGCTCGCTTTGCTTTGACCTTCTTGTGCACTCCACCTCTCTGTAGTTGAGCTTGGACATGATGATCTCATCACATAGCTTAGACGAAGAAAGCATCCTAACCAACAATAGTTGAGTTAAGAAGCTTTGTGGAAAAAATATCAAACTTGAATTTATAATGCATGTTTAACCTCTTAAGAGTTTAAAGGTTTAGCTATCAAACATAGTAGTTAATACTATGAGAATAGATTAACTATATATATTAATGATTGAGTTTCAGAACGGTTCTACACTTTTCCTGTCTAATTCATGTGCTCTATGCAATCCATGATACCCTGAGATTTACTTAAGGACCCAATGCTTTCTCATACTTGATTTATACACGTTTATTTGCTATTTACTTGCATTTTACAATATGATTTTATGATAAACAAATAACCACTCTCTTATACTTTGTCTTACCTCTTCTCTTTTCTTCAAGATTTGTAGTGTGATAAATTTAATCTCTAGGGATTTAATACTTTATATACTATTGCGATGACATGCACTTGCAGTCGTTGGTAAGGGTTGAAACAAAAGCATATAAGTTTGTGACCATAAAAGTGCATTATCTTACGAAGAGTGTAAAGCTTGCTTACAAATGTATATTGAATTTCGGACTACAAATTGTCCTGCTTTAATTCGAGACGGTTTTTTTGTTATCAATAGTAGTCTATTTTGTTGAAAAAGAGAGGGAACGATAATTTT